ATATGAAGTGGCATGTCTTGGGCCTTGATATACCTTCTCTTGAGACGATCGAGCAAAACGAAATGTGTGAATGGGATTTTGTTGAGACGATGATCGTGAACGAGCACGGGTTGCTACACATTCTTGAGGAATTAGCGTCATGGAGGAAAGATCCGGTAAAGCACCCAACACTGGAGAGTGGGAACTTCGAAGAACATAGTGGTGAGATTTGTGGCTCCCTAGAGGCCACCTCGGAAGCCGTCATGGACCTTTTGAGAAAAGGAAGCAATAAGTCGGGCCAACGACAATAAAAAGAGGTGCTTGTTGGGAGGCAACCCAATGGTGTGCATGGTTCAGTGACTTCATCTGCATTTACTAAGGTGAACTTGTTTCTTTTACCTCTGTTTTTGTTCATTTGTGTTATTTGAGTGTTGATGATATATGCAAACTCTAAGTTTGGGGAGGTGGTTTCTTGGTGAGCATTCATGATTTATTATGTCATTGTACTGTTGCCCCTTAGAGTTTGAGTCTTAGATTGATTGCATGATATTTGCTTGTGTGTGAGTATGAGATTGCATGTACGTGGAATTTTGCGATGATGATATGAGAGTCAGTTTGGATTTATTGTGCTAGTTTAAATGGCTTGAGTTAATTATATTGGTTAAATTCTTGAGGTATTTTTATTTTGGGGACAAAGATATGATGGTTAATATTTTTGTGATTCATTTATGGTGAGTTGGGTTTGAGGCGATTTGTGTTGTTGACATGTGCTTGTGATTGCTTTAATCAATGTTGATTAAGTTTGGGGACTTGAAGTTGAAAGTTGGGATTTCTATGTCTCATAGTCGAAAAAAAAAATAATGAGGATGGAGGAATAATTGGTGGAGTTGAAAAGCCATTTGGCACAAAAAAAAAAGAAAATAAAAAGAAAAAAAATACATGGGCTGCAACAGCTGCCAACCTGTGGGGGCTCTAGTGTATAATTCCAATAATTTCCGTATCTAGACGAGCACGAAAGGCTAAAACCCACGGGTTGTGACGGAGCTGCCGTTCCCAACAAAAAAAGAAAAAAAAAGAAAAAAAAAGAGAGAGAAAAAAAAGAGAGAAATGGAGAATGAGACGTTTAGACTTTGGCTAGAAACGGAAGGAAACTTGACTTGTTAGCAAAGAGGGGGGTGTCATGAGTTGCATTGATCGATACATTCGTTGTAGAGATTGACGAACTATGATGATCACTTAGATTGATACTTGATATGTTTGCGTTCTTAGAATAATTTTGTCCTGAGCCCGGATAAACTAATTTGAGTTGTTTGAGCTATGTACTTATGTGACAATTGTGAGGCCCTGAGCAAATATTCCACGTATTTGTTTTCTTGTCCATCTATGTGCATATAGTTCTAAGTTGCTTGGGTACAAGCAACAGTTTAAGTTTGGGGATATTTGATTTGTCAGAAAAAGTGTGTATTTCATATGTTTATTAGCGTATTTCTATATGCTTAATTTTATCGCACTTATATATTTTTCGACTTATTTATTATTTGGATGAATTCATGTATTTTGATATTTTATTATCTATTTTCAGTATTTTTGGGACTATTTCTGATTGCACGAAGATGTGTGGATGGACGACGAAGGATGAATAAGTTTTTCCAGCAAAGTATGGGGGTGTCCCGTACTGACCCAACAGCACCCCATACTCGGCCTAACAACTACCCAATTTCAGGCCCATTGAGAAATATTTAAATAAAGACCTAGGGTCCTACATGGCAGTTTTGGAGAATAGAGATTTAGTGGGCCAAATAATTTTATGAGTCCAATTATCGAAAGAGGAATTGGCATCCACTAAAGACTCACGCAGCGTGGGGGATTTAATTGAGGTCATGCATCCATTATTTATTGAATTGGAAGAGAGTCGCCACGCATTCACGTACAGGAGAAAAGAAAAAGAGATGCACGAACAGAGAGAAAGCAGGCAGATCACGCGAGGAACTTGATCAATTGCAGAGGGATGCCGCACCCATACACGAGGGAGATAATTAATCTCTCTCTTTTATGTATTATTTCTTTTTATTTATGAATTTAGAGTAGATTTTATTTCTAGTTCCGGGAATGTCGAACCCTACGATTTGACGATGTTTGATTGATTTCCGTGGTTGATAATTTCAATATCTTTCTGAAATTGTTTGTGTTATTTTGAATAAGCAACCATGATTTGTTGAGTCTTATTTAGATTGATCACCCAAATTAGGCTTTTCTTATCTATAGCTGAATTAGACCTTCAATCCGTAGTTGTTGTTGTGTTTAATTCATAAGAGGCAACCGGAAGACGGTAACTATCGGGGATAACACGGCATATTTAAATGAACGAACGCGGATCATAAAGCGGCTAATTGTATTAAATCTTGAAAATATTTTTGTGGACTGTACAAGAAGGCAGGTTTAATCGTAGAGCGTCTCAAGGTCAAATTAAAAATAAGGAAAAATTCGGGTAACAGACCGTGTCGTTATCTAGGGCTAGTAATTCCATAAGATAGCGAGATTTGATACCAAAGTTGATTAGACGAGTCGATCGAGGGTGTAGACAGAACCGTGAACTAGATTTTCTCTTTATTTATTCTATTTTATTTTTATTTTATTGCATTGTTTAGATTTTATTTATTTAATTATGATCTTAGTTTTTAATCCAATCCTCCCCATTTATTGATTTCTTATTTTCAGTTAATACGACAAATATCACAATTTGATGCACACTCCTCGTGGGATCGACCCTTACTTGCAGCTACTACTAGTTTGTAGAGGCTAATTGAGAAAAAATATAAATTATAATTTTGCCGCGTTGCGACGCGCGGTCAACGTGTTAGAATCAGTGTTCTAGAAGTCGCTAGGCGCCCGACCAGCTCCTAGCGCCTAGTCGAGGCCTAGGCGGGGCCTAGAAATTATAATAAATATATTATTTTTTATTTATTTTCACAATTTCACTAATAAAATTATAACTTATAATTAATAAATCCATACACCTAAGTCCCCAAACTTTTAAATTTCCACTAAGTTATTCTCATTGTAATTTTATCAAACACATTATCTACATGTTATGTTTTAAACATTACACAACATAATAGAATTATAGCAACCAACTAAACTTCATATTTCACTAACCACATCAGCTAATCAACTAATTAAATTAACATAAATAATAATACAATAAAACACATGAATAACAGAATAAGGGCACATTTGTTAAACTAGACAAGATATGACACATATTATCTCATCCATCATGATTGTATTTTAGAGATGGGATCTAATCTTTAGTTTGTTACACATGACAGATGAGAAAATTTCAATTTTAGTCCCACAGGTATAGGGGGGTGACATTTTTTGTCCCAATGGAATGCCTAAAATACAAATGGTCCCGCAGCTTTTAAAAAACGATCAAAAGTAGGACTTTCTGCCCTTTTCCGGCCCGGAAATCCACGTCGCACATACGTGGCTTTTTTTTTTTCCACGTTGGCCTTATACGACTGACATGGTTGAGTACACCCACACGCCTAAAAAATAAAACGGGCAAAATCAGAAATCTTTCATTTCAAATCTTAAATTCCAAAAAATAAGAACCCTAATCCCCAAATCACCCCAAAATCACTACAAAATCTCCCCAAAATCGCCACGAAATTTGTTTTGATCGAAAGCACACTTGAGGAGAAGTTGAACGCAGGAACGTGCATACTAATATTTCTTCCCCCAGTTTCCCAAAATTGTCAAATCTCAACCCTAGTTGAAATATGTCTTCTGACACCGGAGATGGGACATGCCGTTGTGGTCGGAGGACGGTGATTCGCACAACGTGGAAGGACGCCAACCCTGGGCGGCGATTCTAGTCATGCTTGAATTATGAGGTAAGGTGTTCAATACAATTGCATATTTATTGAAGTCTTTTATTCATATGTGAAGAATTAATTCTTTTTCTTGATTTCTAAATTATACTCTCACAGAATGGAGGCTGTGATTTCTTTGACTGGCATGATCCTCCAATGTGTCGTAGGTCTAAAATGATAATTCCTGGCCTCTTGAGAAAGATGAATGAAAGAGAAGCTGAAATTAAAAAATGAACATTTGGTGAAGTTGGATAAAAAGATGAAGAAGATTAATGAAAGAGAAGCTGAGATTGAGAAGCTGAAATTAAAAAATGAACATTTGGTGAAGTTGGTTAAAAAGTTGAAGAAGATTGTCTGCATTTTGGTTATTTCACTGGTGTTTACCATATTGTCCAAGTTCAAAGTTGCTAAGGAGAACCCAAGTGGAATGAACCATGTGAAGATGCTTCAGTGACTGTACTTTTGAATGGTAGGATGCTTCAGTGTCCTTTTGCTATAGTGAAGATGTTGGTGTGTTTGCATTTTGAATGGTAGGATGGTGAAGACCTTTGCTGGTGTTTGTATTTTGTGAGGATGGTTAAGATGATATATTCCTATTTATGTTATGATGTATCTTGTGTATGTTATGCTGCATTGAATGAAAGCATAACATTTTGAATGTAAGCTGTTGTACTTGGAATGACAAAAACTGTCTTTTGGTTTAATTATTGTATGTTATGAATCAGTGGCTTTTAGAATGTTTATTTGAATGAGAGAATGTTTGTCATTATGAAAATCATTATGAAAGCTGCACAAATGACACACATAACCAAAAACATGTTTGTCATTGATTTTTCCAAACCAAAAACCAGCACAAATGATTTTAAAACAGATAACCAAACCAAAAATAATTATGAAAACTGCACAAAGGACACAAAAACTTGTTTGTCATTGAGTTTGCCATTGTATTCAAACACAAACACAATATCACCAATTCATACCAATACATGTCCAAAACTAATTTCACAATAAAAAAACAAGTTTCAGAACCAAAACAAATCTATATCAACTATCCCAATTGTTTCAGAACCAAAACATGTCCAAAACAAGTTTCATAATAAAAAATTTACACAAAACTTAACCTAACACACAATTTTTTTTGTTTCACTTCTTTTTCCCCTTTCCTTTCTTCACTTGCACTCCTGTCTGGCTTTCCTGAGAGAGATTCAAGAATTTTTTCCCACCTTCCACCACAATTGATTTGGAGATGTTGGGCATGGTACTAAACATTGGTCTGCTATATCCTCCTGTGATTGGTGGGGGTGCTCTGATATTGATCCTAGTCTGCAGAGGGTTAGTCACAGGTGGCTGGTTTGAGGACATTTTCAGCTGCTCAAATGGAGAAGGACCTGGCTTGTGAGGCTGCACATACTGATATATGTTGCTGTCAACCTGGCTTTCAACTGCTGCCATCAATTCCTGATATGAAATCACACTATCCATCAGATCCTCTTGGGTGGGTGGTAAAATCTGTGAATTTGCATTTTTCTTCTGTTGTTGTGCATTAGATGAATTCTCCACACCTCTTTTGCGTTGTTTGTTAACCTAAAAAATATAAATAGTTATAAGAATGTTGTAAATGAGCAAACAAAATACATGTGTAAGAAATATACTTGTGGCTGAGGCTGCTCATGTTGATAGAAATCCATCTCAGTATAGTTATCAATTGTTGCCATCAACTCCTCATCTGAGATGACACTATTCATCAAATCATCTTCTCTAGGTGGTAAAATATTGGCATTTGCAGGAACCTCCTGTTGTTGCTGTGGTGCATCACAAGATGGTCCAACTCCATCTGTGTTTTTCTTAGTAACCTAGCCAACACACATATTCATAACTTTTTTGATACAAGGAGCAATTAATTGATATACATATTTTTTGTAAGAAAAGATGTAATTTTACCTTTAACTTCTCCATCCTGATAGGGATATTGGCATTTGCATTTGCATTTGCTTCCTGTTGTTGTAGTGCAGTAACCTAGACAATATACATATTTATAAGAAGTTTCTTAGAATGAGCAATCAATTCAAATACATGATTTTGTAAGAAAATTAATGTAAGGACAATATATATTTTACCTTGCATCTGAGAGCATTGTGACCTGTTGCATGACATTTAGAACACCTTACAGTTGTTTGTTGTTTCTTAAGCTTGAATGGACAAGTTGACCTCTTTCTTTTACCCCTCGGTTCATCAGGTTCTCTTCTTCTCAAAGAAGTGGGTCTGCCTCTGCCTTTTTTCTTACCATGAAGAGGAACATAGGAAGTCTGCCCCCATACAGAGTCACCACTCATTGGCATGATTGCACATTCATATGCTAGCCTGTAGGAGTCTACTGAGTAAAAATGGCTCACAAAGTCAACTGGGTCTTCTTTTTGGTTGATAATGGCTCTAAGAGCATGTGTGCAAGGTATACCACTCAACTCCCAAGCCCTACAGGTACATGTTTTTTTGTCAAGGGCCACAACATACTGTTCTCCACCAGAGCAAGAAATTTGATAATTTTTATCATCTGCTTTAATTGGAATGCACTCACCCATCTTCTCTATATGTTTGTCCAAGATCTTTTGTATCGTAAGAACAATTTTCCATGCCATTTTGCAGCTGCTCTGTCCCTATTATGCTGGAGCCTTACCATCAGATACTCTCTAATCCATTCCAGCAAAGTGATGATGGGCTTGTCTCTTGCCTCAAGGATATTTGAATTGAAAGCCTCACAGACATTATTAAGCACCATATCACATTTTGGGACACCTGAGAAGTGTGATTTTGACCACTCACTTGGTGCTTTATCATGAAACCATGACCATGCATCTGTACTGAGATTTTTCATATCCATCCTCTCCTCTTAAATTCTCCAACTGTAGTAGCTTGTGCAGCACCCCACAATGCTAGCTTAAAACTTAAGCCCCTGAAACCTGCATTCTTGAAGTTGCAGTGCAGGTGTCTAACACAGAACCTATGAGGACTATTTGGAAAAACCTCTTTGAAAGCCTGTATTAAACCCTTTTGTTTGTCACTCATGAAGGTCATTTGCTCATCAACATCAATCTCTAGGTCTGACTTAAGTATGGTTAAAAACCATGACCAAGTCTCTCTTGTTTCTCCACTGACAATAGCATAAGCTATGGGGAATAAATTGTTGTTGGGATCAACACCCACTGCAGTCAGCAAGATATCTAGATTATGTCCCTTCAAGTGACAACCATCTATACCAATTATAGGCCTACATCCCTTTTTGAATCCCCTTTTCAAAGCATTAAAACAACAGTAGAACTTACTGAATCTGGTTTCACCATTTGAAGTGATAGTGTCAAGGATGACAGTGCTTCCAGGATTGGTCTTCCTCAGCTCATCAGAATAGTCCCACAACTTAGAGAATTGCACAGCAGGATCACCTTGTATCACTTTCAAAGCTCTCCTCTTGGCCCTGTATGCTTGTTGCTTGGACACACCCAAGCTTTTTAATCACTTCAGCCCTCCACCCTTTGGTAGTCCTCTTAGGATCAGTCTCAAAACTTTCAAGATATTTTTCACTCAACCATTTACTTTTTAAGTTCTTCACAATGAACTCTGGTTGACAAGTGCGATCATGAAAGTAAGTAGAAATTATGAAAGTTTCTTCATCTGGTTTCTTAAGAGCATTGATTCTCCATTTGCAGCTCTCAGCCTTACACTCAACATATACCCTTCTATTGTCATTCTTTGTAAACTTCAAGTTTCTATTTGTGCTAATAGCATGAGACTGAATTGTCTTCTTAAATTCTGCCATAGTAGCAAAAACCATGCCTAATTCAAATGTTGGATTGAAAATAAGTGCAGGGTTGAAGGCAGGCTCACTTGGCTCACAATCTTCATCAGACACCCTAGACTCATCTAGTTGAGGGCTATGGATAACCACATCATCTTTCTCATCATCATTATCTGAACCATTGACATCATTATATGAACCATTGACATCATTATCTGAACCATTGACATGTTTGTCCATATCATCAACATGTTCTTCCCACAAATCATCATCATCTTCACTACTATTTTCAGTACTCATGTTGTAATCAGAATCATTTAATTGATCAGAATCAGAATTATTTTCATCCACAAACATCCTATTCCTACTTATACCCATGGCTTCTTCATATGGTAGCCAGATGGAGCCCAATGTCTTCTTATTTGCATCATTTGGAACAGACTCAAGAGCAAATTTAGGGTCATTAGACTTAGAGGGCTCGCTAGGCTCACCAGACTCATTAGGTTCAACAACAGGATCCATCAAATCAACATATATATGCATCTCTCTAGTTCTAACAGTATCTTGAACAAATTTACTAAGATCTCTGTCACTGCACAATAACAAAAACCCACTACTCTCATACATGTACAACCCCATCTCTCCAGTGATCCCTACTTGTTTGCACCAAAGAGTGATAGCCAACAATTTCAATTCTTGTGGGGTGACATAATCAACTATAAAAATCTTACCTCCTTCATATTTTGGTGTTGGGAAATGTTGAAATTTTCCATTCCAATGCACCACCAATGAGAAAGAATCAGACGTTGGATCTGTAAATTTTTGGGAAACAAAAAGTGCTCAATAGTGTATACATCCGCATGAACACATTTGATAAAACACAAAAAAAATAAACAAATAAAATTGAAGAATCTTTTTATAAAACCCAAAAAATAAACAAATAAATCAATGGACACAAATATACAGACCAGACAAGAAAATGCCAGAAATCCCGAAACAATGGAACAAAATACACAAAATTGAAATAAACTCAAATGATAACTTACGATAAATGGGAGGAGGCGAATTCTGGTGCAATTTTTGACGGAGTAAGCCCATCCGCGTTCAGCCTTATGCGCAATTGTGTTTTTGATCAACTTTACTCGAAGTTGGGGCGATTTTTTAGGTTGGGGATTAGGGTTCTGATTTTGGGAGAAGAATTCTGATTTTTTGATTTTGGGGGGAAGATTTATGATTTTCCCTCGTTTTATTACCAGGCGTGTGGGTGTCTCGGCCACGTCAGACGTATGAGGCCAGCGTGGAAAAAAAAAAAGCCACGTAGGTGCGACGTGGATTTTCGGGCCGAAAAAGAGCAGAAAGTCCTACTTTTGATCGTTTTTTAAAAGCTGCGGGACCATTTGTATTTTAGGCATTCCGTTGGGACTAAAAATGTCACCCCCTATACCTGTGGGACCAAAATTGAAATTTTTCCCATGACAGATCTAAGATAAGACATTATGTGTATAGTGTGTTATGCATTTGTTTACTTTGACAATTGATGAGATAAAATGTTGGTTTACATATTTACCCTTTACCATAAATAAAATATAAATTAGCCTCCCTATTACACGTGTAATTGCTTAATAGGAATTTATTTGAGCTGATCAATACGAGCAATTTGTTAGCATGCAGCCATGTATTACTTTATCAAGGTAAGTTTGGCTGTAAAGTGTAATTTATTCATTTATTTATTTATTTTCAAAATTCAATTACGCAGATTATATATATACTAGCATTCCACCCTGTACATTTGCACAATTGTAAATAAAGTACTATAAATTTTTTATACGCATATAATATTACAACTAATAAGTTAAATAATAATATTATATTTTATACATAGAGTATTATAAGTGATCATTAGTTATTCGATTGCATATGAATCACTATATTAATTGTATATGTAAAACATAATGTAATTTTTGTAATTTTGAGGGATCATGCTCAATTAATTAGCCAAAAAAATTAAATATATTATAACAATTTCTTATGCGACTTTCAAACAAATTAATTTATTTAAAAAACATATGTTTAATCAGATAAAAATTATAATATATTTTTTTAGAATAATTAATTTGAACAAAAAGTTTTACAATATAATTTTTATGTTTATGTAACTTTCACATATCATTTAGTATGAAATATAATTATTAATTTTAATAATTACTATTATCTGATACAATAAAAAATATAATTATTATTCAATTATATAAAATGTATTTTTGTCTTAATTAAACTAAAAAAAAGGTGCAAGAAAGAAAATATTTTATCATTAATGGGATAGAGTGGATTAATGTTGTAATAATAATGATAATAATAATAATAATAATAATGAATTGTAACGGTTTTTGGAGAGAAACTATAGAAGTTTTAATAAATGATATGCCAGCAATTATATATATATAATTCTTTGGATTCACCATGTGCAATAAATCTAGGTATCATGAGATTCATGTTTTGTTTTTAAATTTATTACACAACACACACCCGTAAACTCTATCCTTAAGTTAGCAAATTGATTGAAAAACACAGCTTTGTGGGTATATTTATGTATTTGGATATGGATGCTTGATTTTGTTTGTACTTTCTAATTTATTTTTAATTTTAATGTAATTTACCAACATTAGTTTTGGCCGTTTCTTTTGTTGCTTTAAAANTGGGTTATTTAAATAAAAAAAATAATCTGTGGCAAAAAAATAAAAAAAAAATGTGGTGGAAATCAATCAAACGGGCGGATTTTGAAAATCCATTTTTCTAATAAAATTTTTATTAGAAAAACGAGTTTTCATAATCCGTTTTTATTTTTTATTTTTTTTCTTTTTTTAACGGTCGAATTTAATAAGAATGATAGTTCTAATTTATAACACGGATTTTCAAAATCCGTTTTTAGTAAAAAAAGAAAAAAGAAAAAACGAATAGAACGGATTTTGAAAATCTGTTTTTATTAAAAGAACGAATAAAACGGATTTCCAAAATCCGTTTTTAAGTTTATATAAACAACTACAACATCCTCCCCAGATCACTGCGCGTTCTTTTGTTGGTTCATAAACGTATTTTTGTGTCTTTTGTTCGATTTTCGGCGAATTGAAGTTCCATTCAAAAAATAAAAAAAAAAAATTCAACCAATCATCGGAGAAGAGATTAGTTTTTATTTTAATGTAATGTAATATTATTTTTTTTGGTTTATGATTGTTTAAGATATATATATAGTTAATTGAGTATTGTTTAGAAAATCTTGAATGTTGGTTTAATAGTTGTGTTAAATGGTTATAATTTGTTATTTGCTATTGTTTAGAAAATCTTGAATGTTGGTTTAATGTATGTTGAATATTTATCCGAATTGTTTATGAATTTGATGTTATTGTTGGATTATGGTGATTAGGGTTTTGGTGGTGTTTTTGATAAATTAATTGACAATTTTTTTTTGGAGTAAAAATATGATTAATTATATGTTGTTGTTGGAAATGAGTTTTAAATTTAGATTGGTAAAATAATAATTGAAATTTTCTCGGGTGTTTGATTAGCCATTATGTGTTGTTATAATTTGTAAAATTGAAATCTTATTTGTGCAACAGGTTATAAATGGCGTCTAACGGTCCCTACTTTGTTAATGTGCACTGGAAAATTCCCCAGAGTGAGTTA